AAGGAATAAACAAAATAGTGGGCAGATGGATATCTAACTTTGTAATGAAAAGAGTAATAGTACACAGTGAAATTAGGGGCTGCCACCAGGTCACCATCTGGAAAAAGACCCGGGCTGGGACACTACTGGCAAATCTACAACAATAGGGGCTGCCACAGTGATAAGCTCCATTCCTCTAGGCATAGTACTTGCCCCATTTCTCTTTCTTATTCCTTTATCTGACACTAAGGGAGACATAAATCATAGCACCATATCCTTTGGAGACTACTAAATTTGAATGAGAAAGGCACCCGCTGAGGACACAATGAACATTGGAGCTGATATAAACCAATTTTCTAGTGGGCCACTGACAGCAAGATGTTTAGTGATGACTCAGCCATAAAGAATTGAGGATTTGAAGACTGAAACATATACATGACAAATTTGAGTCATGCCATAAAGTGGAAGCTTAATGCGAGAGATTTAGGAGTGAAAATATCAGAAGATCACATGCTGAGGCAGTAATGATATTCTTCAAGTCTCTCATCCTTTCTTGGCTGGAATATTGGTGTATACTAACAGCCCCCTTCAAGGAAGGAGAAATTGCAGAACTGAAAAACCATACAGAAAGCCTTCATTACTCATATAAATTCAGTTAGTCATCTGAACTACTGAAATGTAGATGAGGAAGATATATCATAATCTAAACCTTGAAAATTGTGGAGGAATTGATCCCAAACCTATACACTTAAGCCGCTGCATATAAAAGCAAGAGGCTTAGCAGATGGTGCAAAATACCGGCAGTGAAAAGAAGGGATGCAATGAGTACATTAAGAGAATTCAAAAAGTGTATGGGAAGTAAGGCCAACACACTTCCTTCATGCATAAGAATTATTAACAAACTCATGTGGTTGTCTTCAAGAAAGAACATGATAGGTTCCTCAAGCCACATGCTTCCTCATCAGCCAGGCTGTGGTACATATGTTGGACTGCTTGCAGCTGACACCAACAGCCTGGTCAGTCAGACCAGAAACCAGGTCTGGTCTGGTCTGGGTTAGAACTCCAAAATCAACTCCAGAAATATACAAAGGTTGGAGGAATAAACAGCTGGAGTAGGGGTAGAGACAGATACACAGGACAGGACAGATGAAAGAGGTAAATACACAAGGCAGTAATCAAAAAAACAGATGATTAAGTGATGGCAATAGCATATAAACAAAAACCAGAACAAGCTGAAGAAATATATTCGCAGAAAGTCAAACAAGAGAACCCAAAACACTTCACAGAAAACAAAAATGTGCCGGCCACAAAAAAGTAGACAGTGGGGCCAGTACTATGCTAAGGGAATCTACATAGTATATTGAAATGCATGTAGATATCAACATACCAGAAAATGTTCTGGCAAAGCTCTCACTTCACACGGAGGGCCCAGGTTTGATTCCCGGCGGGGTAAAAGCATTTCGATGCGTTTCCTCACACCTGTTGTCCTGTTCACCTAGCAGCAAGTAGGTACCTGGGTGTTAGTTGACTGGTGTGGGTCACATCCTGGGAGACAAAATCGAGGATCCCAATGGAAATAAGACAGACAGTCCTCGATGACGCACTGCCTTTCTTGGGTTATCCTGGGTGGCTAACCCTGCGGGGTTAAAAATCCGAATGAAATCTTATCTTACTATATAACAAAGTTAACTATACATGTGGACTTCTTACAGAAGTAAATACAGTTGGGAGCATTCACAGGAATACACCTAACATTAAGTTAGCTTGTCTCGTGTCTCACCCACTTATGTCTTTAGCTAAAGCTAAAGATGTTTATTTTACTTTATTCCTTTAATATTCACTATGACTCTAGCTTTGTAATATTAAGCTTGTATCACTTTTAATTTTGATTGTATTCTTAAATTTGTAAAAATGCCAATACTTTATATAATATACTACACAGCTTAATTAATTTAAATTATATGAAATTATATGTAAATCTCATTTTGTGTCTTTTAGACTAAAGTCTACATTCATCATATGCAATATCTGTACAGTAATTACAACTCTTTCATTCATTCACAATTAATTTTAGTTCTACAATAGTTTAATTCTTCCTGAAATGCTGCTCATAATCAGGGTTTTTTTTTTCAGAAATTGTGCAACCAAATATCACATCAAACATGATGTATCTTTAGAAAATATGTTTGTAATACTTGTCATTTGCAAGACATTAATCTTAAACTTTATATCAAGTAGATCTACAGCCACAAGAACTGCTTACCTAACATATACAAAACTGATTACATAAAAATACAAAATTACAAAAAACTTGACCAAAGCTTGTGGCAAGGCCTCCACAGGCTTAAGTGTTAGTTTCAGTTATTCTTAAAACTTGTGTATTACAAAAATATCAACACCAACCTTGACAGTATAATAGCATAATTCATAAGATATGACAAGTAAGAGGATATATAACTTAAAAGAATATAGTGCAAGTGGAAGACCTTAAAGTTTATGAGAGTATGTCCTCCATTATTTTTTTTATTAACACATTGACTATTTCCCACCAAGTCAGGGTGGCCTGAAAAAGAAAAACTTTCATTATCATTCATTGTCTTCCCAGAGGCATGCTTACACTACAGCTATAAAACTGCGACATTAGCACCCCTCCTTCAGAGTGCTGGCACTGTACTTCCCATCTCCAGGAATCAAGTCCAGCATGCTAGTTTCCCTGAATCCCTTCATAAAGCCTCCTTTACTCCCTCCCTCCAACCTTTCCTAAGCCAACCCCTACCCTGCCTTCCCTCCACTACAGATTTATACACTCTCGAAGTCATTCTATTTTGTTCCATCCTCTCTACATGTCCAAACCATCTCAATAACCCCTCCTCAGCCCTCTGGATAATAGTTTTGGTAATCCCGCACCTCCTCCTAATCTCCAAACTGCGGATTCTCTGCATTATATTCACACCACACATTGCCCTCAGACATGACATCTCCACTGCCTCCAGCCTTCTCCTTGTTGCAACATTTACCACCCATGCCTCACACCCATACAAGTGTGTTGGTGTAACTATACTCTCATACATTCCCCTCTTAGCTTTCATGGACAAAGTTGTCTCCACAGACTCATCAGTGCACCACTCACTTTTCTTCCCTCATCAATTCAGATTCACCTCATCTTTCATAGACTCATCTGCTGATATGTCCACTCAAATATCCGAATACATTCACCTCCTCCATACTCTCTCCCTCCAATCTGATATCCAGTCTTCCATTACCTAAATTTTTGGTTATCCTCAACACCTTACTCTTTCCTACATTCACTTTTAATTTCATTCTTTTACATATCCTACCAAACTCATCGACCAACCTCTGCAACTTCTCTTCAGAATCTCCCAAAAGCAGTGTCATCAGCAAAGAGCAACTGTGACAAGTCCCACTTTCTGTTAGATTCTTTATCTTTTAACCCTACACCTCTTGCCAACACCCGAGCATTCACTTCTTTTACAACTCCATCTATAAATATATTGAACACCCATGGTGACATCACATATCCCTAAGGCCTACTTTTACTGGGAGATAATCTCCCTCTCGCCTGCATACTCTAACCTGGGCCTTACTATCCTTGTAAAGACTCTTCACTGCTTTCAGTAACCTACCTCCTACTCCATACATTTACAACATCTGCCACATTGTTCCCCTATCATACACCTTTTCCAAATCCATAAATGCCACAAAAACCACTTTAGCCTTATCTAAATACTGTTCACCTATATGTTTCACTGCAAACCCTTCCTAAGCCTCCTTTTTCATCTGCTATCCTGCTTTCCATCTTACTCAATTCTTTCAATAATAACTTTACCATACTCTTTACCAGGTATACTCAGCAGACTTATTCCCCTATAATTTTTACTCTCTCTTTTGTCCACTCTGCCTTTATACAAGGAAACTATGCATGCTCTCTGCCAGTCCTTAGGTACCTTACCCTCTTCCATACATTTATTAAATAAAAGCACTAACCTCTCCAAAACTATATCCCCACCTGCTTTTAACATTTCTATCTTTATTCCATCAATCCCAGCTGCCTTACCCCCTTTCATTCTACCCACTGCCCCATGCACTTCCCCCACACTCACAACTGGTTCTTCCTCACTCCCATAAGATTTTATTCCTCCTTACCCTATACACGAAATCACAGCTTCCCTATCTTCATCAACATTTACCAATTCCTCGAAATATTCCCTCCATCTTCCCAATACTTCTAGCTCCCCTCTGCTATTTTTAACTAACAAATCCATTTGTTACCTAGACTTTCTCAACTTATTAATCTCACTCCAAAACTTTTTCTTATTTTCAACAAAATTTGCTGATAACATCTCACCCACTCTCTCATTTGCTCTTTTTACATTGCTTCACCACTCTCTTAACCTCTCTTTTTCTATGTACTCCTCCCTCCTTGCATCATTTCTACTTTGTAAAAACCTCTCATATGCTAATTTTTTCTCTTACTACTCTCTCTCTGCATCATCATTCCACCAATCGTTCTTCTTCCCTCCCACACTCACTTTCTTATAACCACAAACTTCTGCTGAACACTAACACTATATTCTTAAACTTACCCCATACATCTGCCCCATTGCCTATACATAGTCACACTAGCCCATCTGTCCTCCAACAGTTGTTTATATCGTACCCTAACTGCCTTCTTTAGTTTATAAACCTTCACCTCTCTCTTACTTGCTGCTTCCATTTTCTTTGTATTCCATCTACCTTTTACTGTCACTGTAGCTACAACTAAAAAGTGATCCGATATAAATGTGGCCGCTCTATAAACATGTACATCCTGAAGTCTACCCAACAGTCTTTTATCTACTAATACGTAGTCTAACAAACTACTGTCATTATGCCCTATATCATATCTTGTATACTTAATGGTATCTAAAGATGCTGGGAAATTTTTAATGCTTATTCAAAACAAACATTTAATGAAATATTAAGTTAAAACTATAATGGGGTTAACAATTTGCAATTTCCAGAGGTGACGGCGAGCCCCATATCCACGATGGGCGAAGAAACAGAAGAAATCGAGGATGAGGAAGATGAGGAGAGAAGGAGAGAACAGGAGGAAGAGGGAGAAGAGCAATACAAGGATGAAAAAGACTTTCTGAGGCCAAAGTCAGAAAGCCCACTCTATGAGGAGTTGGATGTAGGAACTTTGTAGTGTATAGTGTCTGAAACATAACTTGAAGGTTCCTCTGTTCTCGGTAAGCCAGGTGTTGGTCAAACTTGCCTTTATATATCTGTGTTAAAGAAAAGCTGACCTTGCTGTTGAACACACTATCTTCATATGTTTCAGTATGATGGTCATACCTACCTTAACAACGACTCTTACATATCTGACAGATTCATTGCGACTTTTAGGTAACAAATTATGCTTGATGATAACATTCTGTAAGGTAAATAAACATCATGTGTAATACTGATAAGTAAAATATGGGTATTTTTAGGGATTTTTCTGTCAAGTTTGCAACTATGATTAAAATATTTATGCACATTAAGATTTGATACCAGTCATCTGTGCTGTAGTTTTTCTTCACATATTTTTGCTAAAAAATCACAAATTAGTTGTATACCAAAGACTGTACAAAAATTACATTAACCGACCATTTTGTATATTACCCAAGACAATTGTACCTTCAAATAAAAAAATATTAGTTCGATTTACCTAGGAAATCACATTAATGTACTTTTTGTGTGTGTCAGAAACTGATGTGACTATGTTAGGGTAATAGCTGCCATAATTACTATACATATAGTGTTAATTTAAATTAGATTCTTTGTCGTTTTGTGTGTGATAAATGCCCTATTGAGGTAGAACCGAAACCCTTATATTGTCTACACATTTACCTTGATACTGTACAAATATTTAGTAAAAAGTAATGAATAAAAAAAAAATAAAGTCAGCATTCATTGCTGCAAGATTTACCAGTATCAGGGAGTCCAAGTTTAGTAGTGATTGGTGATTATGTGGACATTAAAATGTTCTTTTATGAATAGCTGTCATCCAGGGGCAGTGTTTCTCAATTAGAAATCATCTCATAGGTATTATCTGAGAGTATTTTTGTTCAGTACTGAAAAAAGCAAATTTAAATGTGTTAATGAATTTTAGTAAGTCATGCAGATTATAGGTCAGAATTGAGAATCACTGCATAAAAGCATAAAAATATTTGTATGTTAGGTAATAGTGAACTCTGAGCTTATGATTTACAATGTAACAACGAATCACTCTATTAATAATTATGTCACTTATTTAAAACCAGAAATAATATTGAGGTGATCAGATTTGTCCAGCCTTAGATATCATAATAATTATATAAAGTAACCATGCATTAGATTATAGTAGTAATCCACTGGGGGCCAAGCATGGTCAGCTGTATGACCCATAGACTAACCATCATTATGCACTATGTACTTTAAGAATTCCGACCATGTCAGAGCAGTCTGTAATACCCTAGTGCGACTGTAAGAACCAGGTCTTAGAAATCAATGCTCTTCCTCATCCCTGTACCCTCTTCCTCCTCCTGTGATCTCAAGAGTGCCAATTTGCCATCATGGCTCCCCATCAAGAGCTACAATAGCAGAAACAAACTACAACGAATTACCCGACACTCGAGTGTGTGCCTCAGGAGGTGATTGTGGCATAAGACCAAATAATTGTGTGTGGAACTAGCTAACTGTGATGTATTCCCATGATAAAGGGGTTATGTGAACAATGAAGTGAGAGCAGGATGCTGATACGAGTGTCAAAAATCAGTGTGCAGTTTTGAGCACAAGGGAACCAAAGAATCCTCATTCATCTCACAAGAACCAGATTCTTAGTCTGAGATATTTGTAAAGATATTCTTCTTGTATAAAGGAAGAGATTTTATTTTCAGAAATCATAATGACTTCATTTATGAATTCAGGTATCTGTAACGAAGTATACGATGCTGTGCAACTGATCTTATACACTAGGTATACGACTACACAGTTTAAGTAGGTTATATGTAATGTTAGGGACTAGTATATAATATGATTATTAGTTACAGTATCCCTTCCATTTATAATAAATCCCTTGGTATATATTATCCTTCGTATTTACAAATGAATATTCTTTGGTTCCATGTGTTATTAATTTAAAGAAAAAAGTACTATCCCCAAGAGTATACCTTTGTGGAAGCGTGGTAGTGAGCCCTATCCCATTTTCTATGGTGGAAAAGACCAGATATTTCCATTTTTGTGGTGACGTGACCCTTACCTGAATAATTTGTGACCTAGAAAATATTTAGTGGTGATCCAAATGTTGAAAACTTGAACCTTGTAGTGACCTTGCCTGCCCTTCAATGTACCTGGAGACCGTGCTTGATGAACTGGCCATAATGGTCCTAACTAGCCAGCCATCATGGACACTAACGAGCTTGTTGCGCGCCCGTGTTTATAGCAATGTTTTGAAAGGAAAATGTGTAAAAAAAAAAAGTCCAAAAAGATATTCATGTTACTTCTTCTAAAAGCATTTTATTGGTGACGTATCTGGCTATTTGTGTGCTTTTGCGTGTTTGTTTAGGAATATGTGACGTAACGAGTGATTTGCAGCCATAGTGAGGGGACTTCAAGGCTGATTTATCCAAAGCCTTAAGTTTTCCTTCCGCAAGACTCTGTCACTTTGAATACGACACATATGATAACATGAAAGGTGCATACTTTTAAGCACAATATGATATGCATAATTCTGTGATAATTTTTCATGTGATCTTTTCTCTTTTTCTATTTAATTGCAACGAACAAACGAAAGCAATAATATGCAAACGGGACTGCAAAGTCAAAAATCAAACAATAGCTGCGCCAAGCGTACTTAGTTTAATATGGATTCTTTTGAGAGTTAATGGGGTAACTGGAGGATATTTTAGTTCAAGATGGGAATAGTCTTCTTTTTTTTTTTGTGCATTTGGCTACATCTTAAGCTTTATTCTTCATTTATCAAACAGTAGTAGATAACATAAAATAATGCCTTCCATTAGCAGGACCTGGAACATTTCTTGTGAAAAGAAGCATAAGGTTCATGTTATGGACTTTAAACTTTGCCTTAAGCATACTCACCATTTGTTAATGAGAGGTTATTTTATATTTCTCTTATACAGTACAGTACTTAAATTTTCCCTCCAGTTGCCTCATTCCCATTGTTTCAGCACAACGATGCCAACAAGGATGCTGGTTGAACTTCCCAAGGGTAATTGGCCAGTTTATGAGATTTTCAGCATGGCTTTCTCTGTTGTGATAGAAGGTCCACACTGAGAATCCCATAAACTTGATACTGTAATTACCATATCCTCTACTTTCCTGAGGCCAGTTCACTTGTTACATTCCATATTACTTGCAGTTGTCCTTCTTACCCTCATGAGCATTAAGTAAAGTATCCTGGTTATTTCTGTTTTTTTATTCTGCCTTTGATTATGGTTGTTGCTTACACAGGTGTCCCTGGAATTAGAAGAGGGATCACATGACTGTTTTGGTCCATCCTGGACCACTGTCGAGTCAGAACAATGGTCCAGTAGGAACTGAAACGTCGTGAGTCTCCTCTTTTAAGTGACTTGCTTCAGCCAGGGTATTATGACTATTTTTCAGGTGTACTTGTCTTTATGCAGCACACACATTCTAGCCAGGCACTGAAGCAATCCTTAATTTTAATTCCAACTTATAAACAAGAACCTTCAATATTTTTGCAAACTGCTAAGGTAAATATAACCAAAACCCAATAAAAATTTTATCACTAACATTAGATTTACAAAAGGGCAATCCTAATAACCCAAGAAAACCAATTGTTACAACAAAAATAAAAAACAAATTCTAACTACTATTTTAACACAAATTCTCTACATTTCAAAATGGTACGAAATATTATTATATCAGGGGAGCACTTAAGTTAAAAAGCCATACAGCACCAAAAGGGAGGGAGGGAGGGAATCAGGTATGGTAGGCCTCCTCTAATTATTCTGACCAAGAGCCCTGCATAGTACCAAAATACCTCCCTTGAGAGAATGAATACTTTATAAAATTGAGATATAATTATAAACAAAATGGTTGCTTTTCTTCAATAGCTATTTTCTTATACAGTATTAAAAAAACACTAAACCCATATGAATAATGAAGTTTTAACAGTTAATAGACCAATAAAGCAAAGAAATTAACAATATAGAAGTTATACAATTAAGTGATGCAGCAAAGGGTGATTTATTAGTGGTTTAATAGTAACCTTATGCATATTCCATGGTGATAGTCCTCAATATATCCACTGTGGGTGGTAATCATTGTAAATTATCCTATACAACTCATCTTCTTGGTGGTAATTTCCCCATATCCATCCAACGAGTGAATTCTTTACACCCATCCTGGGGATTTTTTGCCTCTCATCCCCATTCAGTGCTTAACATTCTCCCAAACTATACGTGATGATAAATAACCTATTTCTACAATAAAAGGGATACAACCTAGCTACATAAGTAAGGCCCCCAAGGAAAATAATCACTTTTTTTTTGGGGGTTTTTCTGTTCTCTACATGTAGTGCTTGTATGATAACAGTGAATTGTGTGTACCTGAATAAACTATCTTTACACAAAAAGCCACCCTTATACCAAATCCTGTGGGTGTAGCTCCCCCTACCTATCCTGCAGGTAAGTTTATTCAGGTAAAAACAGTTACAATTTACCACGCCCTAAAAGTGTACAGAAAACCTTCACTGGAAACACAAATGCGATAAAACACCTCATTTATGGAACGCTTTAAGTTCCCCAACCTGTACTCCCTAGAATGCAGGGAAGAGAATACATGATTAAAAACACGGAAAACCCAGAGGGGTTAGTACAAAAATTTCACAAGAAAATCACTCCCTATAAAAAAAAAAGACTTGCAAACCTGCAAAAATTCCCCCCCCAAAGAAAAGCAGGGCACCATAGCACAAAAAAGACAACACAATACGTGTGAGGGACCTGAACGTTCAACGCCCCCAGCATACATAAAACCCCCGGTTTTCTTCAAGAAGGCATTGGACAGGGACCTTAAAATCAGTACCGACCAACCCGGGGTTGGTTCGTACTCGGGTTGCATGCGGGGAGCATAACACCTGGTTGATCAGAGACCGATCCACAAGCATGGTCTCAACAGGGTTGCGGGGGGGTTGACCCTTGAAAACCCTCTCCAGGGAAACCCAAAGTAAATTTTTTTCATTCATCTTACAGGGGAAAGGGTTTCGCTCGTTAATGTCAGTCGTTTTTGGGTCTGACAGCAAAAAAAAAAAAAAAATTAATCGAGTTAAAATTTTTAATACAGATAATTCGTTTCTAAGGCTAAGATTTTGTTCGGGTTTTTTAACCGGGAGGAGGTTTGCCACCCAGGATAACCCAAGAAAGCAGTGCTTCCCTCGAGGGTCCTTTTTTTATTTCCATCGTGGGCCTTCGATTTTTTAACAACCTTCAGTATTTTATACCATTTAATATTCTTTGCCTTCAATCTTTTTTCCCCCGACGAGAGCCACACCAGTCAAATAAAAACCCCGGTACCACTTACCCTAGGTGAAAAACACACAGGTGTAAGGAAACTTTCAACTTTCCACCCGTAGGGAAATGAAAGCGGATACCGTATTTGAGGGGTGGGAAAACAAGAAGCCACAAAAATTTAAGTTTGGAAAGGGATTATTTTAAAACACCTTTGTTATTAACACCTAAGTCTTTAAACCCTATTTTTGATTTGTCAATTACCTTCATGCACGAAGCAACTTTTTTAGAACTTAATTAAGCACTCCATTCTTCGTCAAAAGCAAACTGGGGGGGGATGGTTTGCATCCAACGTCTGTGGAGTTTTCAAATTTACGTTAGGGACCAAATAAAAGTATGAAGTTTATTTAGGTACAGGTACATATAGTTACACAAAGTATCATTAACTTGTAACATATTGTAAATACCTAAGAAACCCAAAAAAGTCAAAGTGACTCATTTCCCAGGGGGTACTTGAAAAAGAAGCTTTTTTTTCCCCCCGAGATATTGATGTCACACGAGGAAACTGAGACACAAAAGGGAGAACTGAACCCTGATGACTACGAGATATTAGATAAATGAAATTCAGAGACCAGCGCAAAAAAGTTTTAAAAGCAAACGACAGATATTGCAGCACTAAATAAATTTCCCAAAAGGGGTGAGGAACAGAGTACAGGGGCTTAAAAAGGGAGAAAAGGGCAAAGCCATTGCTCAAAAATTGAAAATAAAGCAAACCCCAAAAGCTCTGGCAAAAACAAAACAGTTGGGGAATGCCTAAGCCAGTAATAGGTCTAACAAACCATTTCGATAAAGGTATGCCAGAAACATCAAAGGGTGGAAAATTGTTTTTAATTTCCTGCTACACATCTGTTGCATCAACACTATAAGTAAACTACCACTGCACAAATACCTTTAACACAGACTCTGATAATTTTAAAACAACTATACCAAAAAAGGGTAACCCCAAACATTTCAATAGAAAAGTGTATCTCATACTTCATTAAAAAAAGAACTAAGCATTTTAAACCCAACTAAGAGCACAGGCCCTAAAACATCCCTCTAATTTCCAAAAAAGGGGTTTTTTGAACTGTAAAACCCTATGCTACATAAAAAAATCATCAATCCCCACTAAAACCGTACCGGGAGGGGTTCAAGGAGGCCAGAGTTACCCCTATCTTCAAGAAAAATAATGGGTCTGATGAAGCAACTATAGACCTGTTTTATACCAGTTAATATCTAAATTCTGGAGAGGGCGGTGTACTCAAGTAGTTAAGTACCTTAATGACAACACATTCTCCATAGCTATAACGGGCTTTAAAGATCCTACTACCGATACCTCCCTTATTAATCTGAGGGATTCCTGAAAACTGAAATGTAAAAAAGGGAACCTAAAGGGTTTTGGTAACCTTAGACCGAAAAAGGGCCTTTAAAGATACTGTCAACCCAATATATTTGTAAAAACCCTTAAACCCGGGATAGGTTCGTAGACGGTTTAATCCTACCTTAGCAACAGGAAACAAATAGCAAAATCAACAAAAGGGAATCAAACCCCCCCGAAAACCCTTGGGGAGTTCCCCAATAGTATTCTGGGTCCCTTACATTCTTATGTTATTTTAATAATGCCATCTGTCAAGTGCAAAACCCCACTTTATGCAGAGACAGTGCTCTGTTAGTGCAGTAAAGACCCACAAAATTGCTAAAGTTTTTAAAACTGGGAAATGGGAGTCCTGCAGCAAATGGTTAGTAGACAACAAACTATCATTACACCTAGGGGAAAAATGAAGCCCCTTTTCTTTGGGGAAAGAAAAATAACTGAAAGGTAAAAATTTAAGTCAGTGTAATGGGGGGTCCCTCACTTTGGTTTCATCATTAAATATCTGGGAAACCCCTTTGACCCGCATGTCAGGGGAATTTATAGGGAACAGTGTAGTAAAGAAAGCGAAGCCAGGCGAAATTTTCCCGTAAGACAAGCACAGGGGTACCTAGAGGCTCGCAGGACCCTATGTCTACCCTTTACAAGCCATATGGGTTTCCTTGCTCTTCTTGGTACTCTGCCTTTACAAAAAAAAGAAAAGGGAAACTGCAAATCACCCGAACAAAACGAAGATTCATCCCGGGGGTGGACCCAAAAGAACTTAGGGCCCGGATGAATACGCAGTTGGATAGCTGAATTTTGAAGACAGGTAAAACAACTGAAGCTAAATCATTTTTTAAAATTTCTCACGAACAGTGTCCAGAATAACTTGTCAATTTTTTTCAAGTTGGGGAACCAAGCAATAAGTACAAGGGGGAAGACACAAATTGTATACCCACGTCAGTGGGCCCGGTTCAAACACCTTTTTTTGTACAGCAAAAAAAAAAGGAAAGGAACAACTACCCCCAAATGTCAAGGCCATCATACTTTAACCAGTTCAAGAAGACTGCCCAAAAAATGTCTGATAATGAAGCAACAGAAAAAGGGGGGGGAATGAATTTTTTATTTTTTTTGCTAAAAACGTGAAATTTACCTTTTCCCTAGTAATGACCCTCGTATTGTAATAGTCAATGGGCCCTCGGGGAGTAGATAGCCTTAATGAACCCCGAATTTTAATAGTTTTTGACCCTCGTGTAGTAGATAGTCTTTTTAGTATGATAATAAGATGTTATCTTCATTATAGAATAATAAGAAAATATTATAACCTTTATATTATAATAATAAGGTAAAAGGACCCCAATGGAAATAAGTCACTCTGTCTGACTTTTTTGGGTTATCCTAGGTTCTCTACACATATGCTGCTATGTATGATAATTCTATGTAACTGTATTGTGTATACCTGAATAAATTTACTTACTTACTTACTTACTTACCCAGACGACACACCCAGTTGGTAAATGAGTTAAGAACTCCACGTCGCCA